GACTGGCCTGCACAGAGTCCTGACCTCAACCAGATTAGAACACTTTTGGGATGAATTGGAGCGGAGACTGCAAGCCAGACCTTCTCCTCCGACATCAGTACCTGACCTCACAAATTCCCTTCTGGAAGAATGGTCAAACATTCCCATAGACCCACTCCTAGACCTTATGGACAGCCTTCCCAGAAGAGTTGAAGCTGTTATAGCTGCAGAGGGTTGGCCAAACTCAATATTGAACCCTACGGACTAAGACTGGGATGCCATTAAAGTTCATGTGCAGGTAAAGGCAGGCGTCTCAATACTTTTGGCAATATAGTGTACTTGGGTAAGTGATGGTCAAGTGTTTATACATTTCTTGGCTGTATAGTGTAGTTTTTCAAACATCTGCAGTGGGATGGCCCTGTTTAGACATGCAACTAACATTGCCACAACTCTGAAAAGAGATTTGCGGTGGACCATTTTTCAGAGGTGTTTGAAAAGCGATGAAGATTAAATTTGTAACCTCCGCACTGCTGTAAATGCTGCATCTCTGTGTTACAACCATGTCCATTACACATGGTAGCAGAACAGTTGTGGCTCAACCCAGTTCACTTGAATAGGTCACGTTAGTCAGTAGTACTGCCCACCAAACACGACTGGGGTATTACTTTTCCTGCAGCATGTGTGCACCCCTGTCCTGCTGCCTCTACAGCTTGAGGGGATAAAAACATATCTCAACTGGCTGTTTTTACCACTCAAGCAACCACGTGTGCCCTAAAGCTCACGGCACACTTGCAATCATTAAAAAGTGCATAGGAAATACTTAGTGATATTAAAAGCATTTTTTTAAAATAACAAACATTTTAAAACATGTCTCCTGCTGCTGTCTCAGCCAATGAAGAGGGAGAGTTCACAGAGAGCCGAGGCTGTCATGCACATTGCTGGAATGCGATGGGGCTCAGGTAAGTATTGGGGGGTTTGGGGGAACTGCTGCACACTGAAGATTTTACTGTCATGCATGTAATGCATGCATTATTACTCAGACACCTCACTCATCTGGCAAGCAAGAGTGTAGTGCTTGGAAACAGATGAGCATTTCTCTGCCCTATTAAATGACCCGGTCCATGGCGTGTTGATGCCAGCAACAGCAATGCTAATATGCCTTGGCACTAGGCAGTGATTGGTGAAGGAGAATTTGAGGTGGTGTGGTCTTTGTCTAATTCTTCTGTTTAGCACTGCTCTGTTGTGCTACAAAATTAGTCTCCCCAGTGTTTAGTGCAGGTTTTGTGTATGTTTGTGTCTGAAAACACCAGCATTTTTTTCCTTTGTGAAATCCTGCACAAACGTAAACAAAATCTGCCTACTAATTAAAAATTAATATTACCTCCCTAATAGCCATCCAAGCAGTTATGATGTTTAATGAACAAGGGTTCCCTTTCCGTTTGTAGCCAAAAAAAAACCCCAAAACAGTGTCCGCCATGGGAACAGTATTTAGTTTGTTTATATTGTTTAGACCGTTCACAACCCACATGTGATTAGCTCGCAGCCTCTTCCAGAATATGGAACACCCACCAGTATTCTAAAATGTACTGTACTGGGAGTTCAATTTTTGGCAAAGTAGCCTTTGGAATGCTTGGAGTGCTGTTTTTCATATTACGGTACTAGAACTGCTTAGATGACTACATACATTTTGAAAGCTTTTAGCAGGTGCATTTAAATTGCCTACAGGACAAAAGCAGGTAAGGATTTGAAAAAAATTGTTGACATTTGTAAAGTTCAGATTTTCTTGCCCTCCCGTCCCTTGTCTGAGGACACACATAGATTAACCAGTTGCTGAACGCAGATAGCCGAATGACGTCCTCCCAGGGGTGCACACCCGGCGTTCTCCATGATCGCCGTGTCCTACGGACACAGCTGATCACCTGATGTGGTAAAAGGCCAATCACAGCTGCTTTTTACCATGTGATCAGCCGTGTCCAATGACACGCTGATCACAGGGAAATGCAGTTGCCGGTTCCCGGCTGCACTTTCCGCACGCTGTCAGAACGTGGGGAAAGTACTGCCGAGAACCGGAAGTTGTTAGAGCAGTTATCGGCACCGAACATCAGGGCACTGATGATCAGTGCCCTGATGATCATTGTCACCCACTGTTCCCTTCAGTGCCACCCCCTGCCACCCACCTGTGCCACCCACCAGTGCCCAAAAGTGCAGCCCAGCTGTGCTGCCAGTCAGTGCTGACTATCAGTACCCATCATCAGTGCTGCCTCATTAGTGCTGCCTATCTGTGCCCATCAGTGCTGCCTATCAGTGCAGCCTCATCAACGCACATCAGTGAAGGAGAAAAATTACCTGTTTGCAAAATGTTATAATAGAAACAAAGAAACCTTTTTTTTTTTTTTTTTTTTCAAATTTTTTGCTCTTTTTGTTTATAGCGCAAAAAATAAACTCCCCAGCAGCAAGTAAATACCACCAAAAGAAAGCTCTATTTGTGAGAAAAAAATTAAAATTTTCATATGTGTACAATGTTGCATGACTACGCAATTGTCATTCAAAGTGCGACAGCGCTGAAAGCTGAAAATTGGCCTGGTAAGGAAGGGGGTATAAGTGCCCGGTAGGCAAGTGGTTAAACACTAATCATGTAGTATAGTTACTGGGGTTTTTTTTGTACGTTATGAGCCTAAAATGGCAATTTTCCAAGGATAGTCTCTGCATTATGCAATAAATCTCCCTCTATATGTGTCGTTTCAGCAGCATCTATCTGCATGAGCTGCTCATTTTGACAGACTGATGCACTGTTAAAACTCTGGGCAGATGTGAAAACCTCTGTTAGGTGCATTATAATAAATGATTGCAAGGAGTGTTTTAGGCTGTTGTATGTAATTCTATGTGTTTTTTCCATCTCTCGTGCACTAGCGGATACCTGACTTACAGCAGGAGTTTCTGTGTCTGGATTGAGAGATTCAGTAAAGAACGGGAGTGAACAACACAAGCTCTGTCTACATAATACATAGTACCTCAGACGGTCATATTTCAGGCAGCAATAACAGTTTTAGGCATGTGGCAGCTGGTGCTTCTTTGGCTGCAGAGGCTTTGTAGGAAAAGAGGGGGGATACTGATAAAACACAGATATGACTGCCTACGAAAACAAAAAATAATTTTACTAGTAAATAATGACCATTATAAATACCAGGAAAGCGGTTGTATGTTCCTGCAATTATTTAAATCAAAACCCATGTAAACTGTTAAGACATACAGTTGAAATGGCTTTACTATCACTTTGCCCATTTCAGGATGCAGTGCCCATGTCTCTATAAAACAGCTGCTAGACCTTTCATTGAAAGAATAATGTTCACTTTAGATGATGTGCATTTATTATTTTATGCATGTTCTTTACCTGTAAAAGACTGAGTGATGTAATCTTGGGCTTGGTGTCAGCAGATTCTGAGCAATCATTGAAGTGACACTTGATATGGTATGCCCCTTACACCTCCTCTGACTGCTACGTAAAAAGGTTATATAGGGTGGTGAGTGAATGAGCTGGGCCAGCATAGACCAAAATAAGGAAGAGGAGAGGGCTATCATGTGACCTGAGCGAGGGGACTGTGTTAGGGAACGGACTAGTCAAATTTGCAAGCAAGTTCAAATGCACATTGCCACTTCTAGTAGTGTTAAAACCTCAACATTTTTAGTTAACACATTGAGCACAATAAAATATACATTCCCTAATAATAAACTATGAGTTATCCCCTTTACAACCGCCCAACACATGTGCAGGTGCAAAAGGGTGGGCTTTTATGCCCATATGCTGCATATGTGTTGCTGATTCTGAGATTGCGCTTACTGCCTGCATTCAACAAAAAGACTGACTGCCCTCGGTTCCAGGTTAAAGATCAGTAGCCAGCGGGGCAGACTTCTGATCATGTGATTGCTGTGATAGTGGTCACATGGTCGCCGATCCTTTCTACCCCTGGGATTTCCAAACTGTTTAAAGGGACACCAGGGCGGACAGAAGGTTTTAAAAGTCTTACCCCATAATTTGCAGTATGCAACATTAAATGCTACTTGTTCCCCCTATCTCAGTGCTGCTTCCTTGAACTTTTGGGCTTCATAGGAAAGAGTCTACAGTGGTCAGTGCAGTCTCCCTAGTCTGTTAGTTTGGAGAAGGGAAAGGGGTGGAGCAGGGGAGTACCTTGCCATCCTAGGCTTCAGGGCTATGTGTTTGTATTGATGCACATAGTGTAGGGAGACATGGCTCTATTTCCTGCATTCAAGGTTGGCTCAATAGGAAACTGCAAGGGAAAGGAGCCACCCTGAAGCAGAAAACCTAGAGCAGCAGCATTCCTGGCACCAGCTTAACTGGAAAATAGGAAAGAATTTTCAAGTTAGAGGCTACATACTTGGTAAGTGATTAAATCTCTGCTAATCATGCTTAAAAACTGAAGGTTATATTTTTTTTTTTTATTTTATTTTATAAAAAAAAGGTTTATGGGAAAAAAGGGCTTCAAGTAAGCCTTTAAATACTTTTATTTTTTTGTGCTCTTTACCTGCAATTTATTAAATTGGTGCCATGGTTTCTTTACCAATGAAACAGGACATGCTTGTTATTACCAAAACAGCGCGTTGAGGCTGCTGAGGACCTTTTCCACAGACCGCAGTGTTTCTGACCAGACTTAGACCTAAAGGTTCTTGGACTGTGGCTAGCTCATTAAGACTGTAAGATGAATAGTTATGGGTAGTCTGTAAATATATGGAAAATAGGTACTCTATAAAGGAGGAACTAAATATAGGTACCTAACTTTTCTTAGCTATGAGCATTCAGAGGAGGAACTCCCACTGTAAGCCTGGTAAAGTCCGAGTTCAGAGAATAGCACAAGCTGAATATAAAACTGTCATTTAATGAAAAGGCAACTAAACAGTGTTTTATCCATTTGCCTGGAGCTCTTCTTTTAAATCCTATACTGTTCAGTTTGCGATCTTTTTTTCTTGAGCCTGTTTAAACTAATTGCTAGGCATTTGTTCTGCAGGTCTCAGATTACCTAGAGGTTATCAGAGAACCCATGGACCTTTCTACCATCATGACCAAAATCGACAAGCACCACTACATGACTGTGCGGGACTTCCTGTTGGATGTGGACCTGATCTGCAGCAACGCATTAGAGTACAATCCCGACAAAGAACCTGGAGGTAATGATGCTAAGAAACAAAGTGCTCCTGCAATTATTATTGTTCTCCCTTCTGCAGGCTACTATTGATTTTTAAACCTCTCTCTGCCAGATGGGAGATGTGCTGAAAAGCAGCTCATAATTACTCCGCTCTGTCAGTCAAGGGAAAAATTCGTGCGGCAAGACATGAGCCACGTTGGCACATAGATAATACTTTGCAAGAAAAAAAACTTCTTTTTTTTTATTGCTTTACAGTAGTATATTTTTTATTATTGATTCTCTGAATCGCCGAGTGCATAAGATAAAATGCTGTCTTGAAATCTATAAAGTTATGTTTTACCCAGCTATTTGCTGTACTTTGTATCAGCCAGCATATTTTGCAGTTGTTAAAAGCACAAGAGATCCTGTACTATTCACTGAGGTCATTTGGCATTTTCCTAAAGTTGCTAGGTTAAAGTGATGTGCTGCCTTTTCCAAAAAAAAATAGTTTGCTGCTCCTGCTTTTTACAAATGTTTGCTTTAATAGTGTTAAATAAACCTGTTGTGATGGTAATATGGGGGCTGCCCATTTTTCTCTTTCTGTAAATGCTAGTTGTATGGATGTTAGGCTGACCTGACCCCCTGGCTAAAGCTCAATTCCACATTACTTGTTTTACAAGTAAAATGTGTGTTGGGTTTTTATCAATGTCTCTGTCCCTTTTTGGTAGATTGTCCCACACTTCTGTTCTATGCAGATTGACAAAAACACATTTGTAGTTGAGTGAGGAAGGGTTAGAACTTCTGACAACAATATTTTTCTGTCTTTCTGGGGCTTCTACATCCCCCCTTTCTTGTACAGTAAGTGGGGTAATGTATCCCCAATGGGGTCACAAATGGAAATAAAAACCTCTATTGAACCAAGGCTGGCCATATACTGTACAAATTTTTTGTCCAGTTTCTGTCCAATTTCATTCAGATTTACCTTCAACTATGTAGTGCAAGGGCCTGCTTAATTGGATACAATTGAAAGTGTTTAGGTTTGACTTCATATTATATGGTTTTTGGCAAATCTAAAGTGAAATTCTCAAGAAAATTGTATAATGTATGGCCTGCAGGTGTGTATAGGTACAATTAGAAAACCGTACAATTAATGAATGCACTGTGCTGATCCTAATGTAAATCATCGAACCAGTACACTACTGAAATCTAACCTAAAACCTCTTGTCACACGACTCGACTATACACACATTCTGGAAAGCATGCAGATGCAAATAAATAGAGATTTAATAGAGTGCCAAGTAACCGCCAAATAAGTAAAACATTCCCAGAGTACCCAGTATAAACATTCCATTAAGTCCTGTAATAGATGCTTTGAATCTCCACTTAAATCAATGCATCACATTGTATACCCCTCTCATCTTTACTCTCATTAGATCCTGTACTTTGAACCCATTTAATTTATTACTGTAATGTAGTGTGGCTGCATATCATCCAGCCAGGGAAACAGAATAGTAGTAATTCTTCGACTTTTGGGTTATTCTGCTGCCTACAGGAGGTTTGTGCACTGGCAAAACAAAAACTTCATTCCATCCCTTGAATAAGCATGACTAGACCAGTCATACTTTTTTTTTTGTGTGTGTGTCGCAGGAGATTAAAAATGTGGGGTTTTTTTTGTTAATTTTTTTTTTTCTTCAATTAAAACTTCCTTAACGCTGCCTGACCCTATTTCTGTACATCAGATCATCTATTTCTCCATACTCAAAAGAATAAATGGTGAGCGCAAGACAAAAAAGGAAAAAGTAAAGCAGCTAGCACAACATGGCAAACCCTCTGTCTCCAACAAAACACACTCTAATATCAATGTGTAGCGCTAATCAAAATGTGTGTTATAATCAAGGATGACCAGTGTGATAGTAAAAGGGAAAGGAAACATCATAAAAAAGAAATAGGGAATAGTGAATACTCCAATGAAGAAACAAAATGGAAGGTATAACAAATTAAAATGTATAAGTCCTCTAAATAGCATAATAGTCCCAAAAGAAGTGATGTGATCAAATCAACAAAATGTAGTGACTTCTGTGACTTCCGCACTGCACCTCCACCATAATGCACTCACCAGACGTAAGTAGCAAGCAAGCCTAGAGCGGAATGACACTAAGGGGTGTTCCTGCTTGTTCCTCCTGCCGGCGACCCGGATGAAGGTGGGATCTTTCCAGAAGCCAGTGATACACCAAATGAACAATCAAAAGTAGAGTAGCCAAGTCTCCATCTCCAGCCCACGGTGAACCAAGGAAAGGGATTCCTCCTAGAGGGCAAGCTCACAGACCGATCCCGGAGACAGTATCATATGGTGTGGTATATTTTATTAAAAAGATAGCAACCACATGGGCCATAAAATCATCAATGGATAAAAAGCACTTACAAAGATGGCCACCGGACCACCACGTGGACGCGACAGCGTGAAGTCAGCACGTAGCCTCCTCCTGACGCATTTTGTGCGCATGCACGTTCTCAAAGCTTTCACTGCACCCAATCTCATAGTAAGTTGAATATCTTCCAATAAATCACTGGAAGTTATTAGGCATTTTTACTTCTTTTCCCACCTTTGCTGCAGGGACACCTCAGACTGAGGTAACTGAATACCTCTGTCATTCATCTGGGGGATTATTGCACATGCACAATTCTTATTTGCTCTCCGCCTGGAAGAAGGTCTGTTTGATCACAGATCCTGCTTCCAGTACTCTGTTGAGCTTCAGGTCTCTGGATGAATCCACGGTCTCGCTGATTTTATCACTGCTGGTGGCTGACAGCATTCACTTAGGCTCCATTTACACTTGTGCAACCTCAAAATCGTGCGATTTTCATTGCGACTTTACAGTGTGACTTAATGCGATTTTGAGGCAAGTTTGATGCAACTTTGGATGAGTGTGGCTTTGATCAAGGAGGATTGGGATGTACAGAGTCACACACAAGTCACATGTATATCATTCAGGTGCGACTTTCATGCGACTTTGGAGGGTTTACATTGACGTCTATGGCCCTCAAGTTGCACGAAAGTAGTACAGGAACTACTTTCAAGTTGCTCAAGTATGAATGGTACTCATTGGGAAACATGGGGTGTGACTTGTAATGTGACTTTGCGTCCAAAGTTGCAGAAATGTGAACGTGCTCTAATACAAACTTCTTAGTTTCTGAGTATGCAGCAAATTGCATCAATCCTTGGGACTAGTTTGTTTTCAATACACAGTACAGTTGGTCTCTGCCCGGATGTCCAAAGGACAGTCCTACTGCAAGGATGACCTCAGCTCACACACTCTTATGAATACCAGTGATTTTTCACTTTCCCTTTACTTTCTAAAGAAATTTAGGGATCTTATTACTGTAGAATCTTCCACTGCAGAGCCTTCTACAACTCAACAGGATGAGCCTCAGTTTTAACATTCTGCCGCCAGATCCATTTTAATATCGACTTTTTGGTTTTGGTATATGCGCACTTAACTAAAATATCTACTCTTAAGTGCACTGGTGTCACCCTAAACCCTTTTCTGTTCCTCCACCCTTATATGAGCCTGGTCATCACATAGTGATTACCTTTTTTTTATCCACTGACATTAAGTGGCAGGTTGGGAGGATGACAAGTGCTGTCTTCCTGGCCAAATACAGGGTTCTGGTCACTGATAGTGTCTCCCTCCTCGAGGCTTACATAGCTATTGTTCCTGCATAGGTTTTACTGGAAACACCACAGAATGCTTTGCTTTTACAGTAGAATAGTACCTTGGGGCAAGGTGATTTTATCCACATATTGGTATGATACTGGTAAGACGCATATGCCACCATAAATCAAGCATTTCACCTATAAAGTTCTTCTAAACCAAAGATGGGTTTTCTTGGGCATTTCCAAAATGTTTATAAGATTACCTTGTCCCAAGGGTACAATTCTGTGGTAAAAGCAGAGCATTCTGCGGGGTGTCCAGCAGGGTTGGATCCAGCTAATCTGATATGGGGGTGCAATAAAAAATGTCAGGGGGCAGAGGATAGGGGGTCAGCAGGACAGTGCACAAGAACAGGAATCAGTAGCAGAGTGTACTAGGGAGGTCAGCAGGGCAGAGGACAGGAATTATCTGAGCAGGAGGACAGGGGTAGTGTATTGCAGGGGTCAGCAGTTTGTAGGCCAGTGTACAGGGTGTCAGCAGGGCAGAGGACGGTCAGTATGGCATTGTACAGGGGTCAGCAGTGCACAGGACATATAATAAGTTTTTAAAGGCGAACTGCCTTTATTTTAACTGACAATTGCGCGGTCATGCAATGCTGCACCCAAATTAAATTTACGTCCTTTTTTTTCCCCCACGAATTGAGCTTTATGTCGGTGGTATTTGATCGCCTGTGCATTTGTTAATATTTTTTGCGCTATAAAAAAAACCTACAATTTTGAGAAAAAAAAACAATATTTCTGACTTTCTGCTATTAAACATGCCCAGTAAAAAAATTAAAGTAAAATTTTGTCATGAATTTAGGCCAAAATGTATTCTGTCTGCTAAAAAAAAAAAAATCCCAATATGTGTAAATTGGTTTACGTGAAAGTTATATTAAAAAAAAAATGCTATATATACTGGGATTTTTAAAAAAAAATCTTTTTACTAGTAATGGCGGAGATCAGCGACTTATAGCCGGACTGCGACGGGCATTCTGACACTGGGGGTAACTGACTTGGTGTCACTGAGATCCTCAGTGACACCAATACAGTGGTCAGTCCAAAAAAAAAAAAAAAAAAAAAAAAAAAAAAAAAAAGCTGTGGCACTGGGCAGGAAGGGATTAACATGAGGGGCGATCAAAGGGTTAACTGTGTGCTATTTTACGAAGTGCTGTGTCCGTGTGCTTCACTGTAAGCACACTGCTTTGCATGGCTGTGCTCTGCAAAATGTAGAAGATGCTGCACAGAACCATACTGGAACATGGCAAACTGCATAAAAAATACACTGGAACTGCGTGTGGCGTGAACTGAAAGCAAAAACGTATCCGGAATGCTTCTGGAGTGCATTTTGTAGTGTGAACTGGCCCTAATTGTTGCCATTTCATGTTTTTATGCACACAAAAAGGATATTTTTCCCCTAGGCGACCATACTTGATCAAAATTCATCTTAAGTAGGGACCGGTTGAATTTCAATCCATGTATGAGCACGCTTGTTGTACAGAAGTCGATCTACTAATCAGATATTGTACAGTCGGCCTCTAGGAATATTTCTGCGCGGTTAATACTGCCGGCTATAGCTGGCAGCACTGATCAGTGTATTCTGGTGGCATTGAAGTCTCTTCGCTGTCAGAACACATTACCAGGGGAGTGATTCCCCATCCACATTGAATTTGTGGATGAGAGAATCAAATATTTTTTTTTTTTATTTTTTTTTTTTTTTTTTGGTTCAACACATTGTTGAATGAAAAATGACTAATGTCTGGGCTGTCTTACTGAGCCTACCTTAGGAGCTCCATTAAAACCTGCAACTGTTGAGAAAATGAACACCTTGGTCGGGTCTATGCACATCTTTGAGTAATGTTCAGGGGTCAGAATAAGTAAAATGCAAAACATATGGAGTGTAGCAGTCCGAATGAGAGCCACGTTCACATCAGAGTCCTCCCTTACATCAGTGTCCCCAGAGTGAAACCACTTTACATTAGTCTGCAGAGTCCCCCTTAAATCAGATCTAGAGTGCCCCCCCTTACGTCAGAGCCCATGACAAAGGGATTTTTTACGGGTACTTTTCTCCTGTCCATGAACATTTACGGATAGGAGGAAAGTGTCTGTTTTATACACACTGTCTATACATTTATGGATGATTGGCAGCACAGGGTTGTACACCTACTGCCACTGTGAAGTTTTGTGGCCGTTGAAGAAATTCTATCCACTGTTGCTTTCTGTGGGCACAGTGCCTTCTGGATGTGACCTATTCAAGTGAATGAGACTGCTCTGCAAGCACCACACAACTGTGTGCAATGACACGTGGTTGCAGTTCGCTAGTGAGTGGTCTTAGGGGTTAAACCAGGTGGCGTGGTTGCTATACATCTCACTGCCTGCCAACTTCTCTCTGAAGAGTGATCTGAATGCAGATCGCTCTTTAGAAATAAAAGTTCATGTCAACAATCCCCTAAAGGGATGCTGGGTCTGAGCAGGAAGGGGTTAAACAGAAGCATCACAAACTTGAGTAATAACTCCATCAGTTTTTAAACTGCTATATTAATCCTTTTACTGACAGGCCGTGTGCTCTGTTTCTATACTCGTGTCACCAGACCATTTTTGCCATTCCCCCCCCCCCCCCCCCCCCCAAAAAAAACCCATATATATTTTGAAAGCACATGACCAGTAGAATAAAGAATAAAAGCTACTGATTTTTGAGGCCCCATCATAATTGCGCAAATGCTTATCAAAACAATATTTTTTCTAAAAATACACTAAAATCAGTAATAGATTAAAACAAAATTGCAAATTTTACAAAATTCCAGCTAAATTCCTATGGAATATAAAAGCTAAACCTGTATGGAGTTAAATATTTGTAGATTTTTAATTGCACCTTTTTGAAAAATGGTGAAAATGGAAGGTATGCAGAACTGGAAATAACCAAACGTCTAAACTGGGAGTTTTGATTTTTCCCTTATTGTTCAGAGTTTGTAAAAGGACCCCCCCCCCCCCCCCCCCCCAATGATACATTTTCTGAAAGCATATAACCAGGAGAATAAAAGTGTGCTACAGACTTTTTAGGCCCACGATAGTTTCGCAAATGTTTATGCTTGAAATGATTGTAGCCGTATTAGTGCATTTCTGTCGCAAATGTTTATCAAATTCATATTTTCACCAAAAAAAAAAATCAAAATATTTTTTGCAAACATAATATAATTTACAAAATTCCTGCTAAATTCGTCCTAAGGCCTAGAGTGTACTAAAGTGTATGCCCATGCAGAGCCATGTTTACATACAAGGGGATGCACAAGTGTTCTGTACATCCCTCTGCAGGCAGTCCCATTCGGGTCAATTGGAATGCAGGGGCAGAGCCGCTGCTCCCCATCTGACATCCATGTATGTCTGTGTAGGTCCATGACCCCAAACGCAGGCAGTGTGAGTTCAGGGACATGACACCCATACGGATGTGGGAGCAGTGCCTGTGTCCATGCAGACTCTGTGTCCCAACTGACTTCAATGGAACTGTATGCATGGGGATGCGTGGAACACCTGTGCATCCTTGTGCAGTAAAACACTGCCCTGCTGTAGTGTGCCCTGTGTGAACGGGGACTTAGGTCTCGATTAGACTTTTGGTTGTGGAGGGATGGGGTTGTAGTTGAGCTGCGTTTTAGCCGGCTGACAACCTCCCCTCCTAACGCTGCAATAGGCAGTGGACTGGGGTGTTTACGTGCTGCGGCTGCAATGCTTCACTTTACGCCGCAGCAAAGTTGATCTGACTTGTAGCAATCGACACCCGCCGAACACCACACATTCAAGTCAATGGAGAAGCACTGCAAACACCCCACAACTGCAGGCAATGCAAACATGGATCAGGCTTCAGAAGTAAGGGAGATTTAGATACATGTCTATATCTAGATCATAATGTATAAGTTACACTTGTTGGCGAAAAATGCAGCGTTTTGCAGTAACAATCGCTTCTTCAGACTTTTACGCTCAGTTGTGACAAATATTCATAGCATCTCTATAAATAGAAAATATATATATATACAATCCACTTATATGCATTGGTACATAACATGAATACTTTGAATCCGGCCCATAAGGGGAGCAAAATGGACACACAACACCAAGAAAAGAAAATAAAGGGGGGGGGGGGGAGGTAGACCAAAGCACTTACAAAGGCATTGCAAAGACTCTCAGTATATAATCACCCCCTTCCGAACCAAGGGGAGACATGCAACAGAGACCACAGATGGGTAATCATAGGCACCATATCAACAATTCCAAAGCGCCAATGTATGAATAGGCTAAAGAAAAAGACATATCAAATGAAACCATTACATGGACACTAAGTCTAGGGCAATGATTCCTCCCAAATTGCATCATACTTACACAAGCTTCGTAATATGGCTAAAACCCATAGATAAAAAAAAAATAGGAAGCATGCAAAGCAAGCAACCATGTCTCTGCTCAAGATGAAAGAGTGAGATATAAATCTCTGGTAAATTAGTACAACAGGCAGGCAGGCCTCAATTGGAATAGGGGACAGATATGTAGTTTAAAAAAAAAACTCTCTAAAAAGGATAAAACACAAGGGATGGAGCAGTAAATACTATACTCAATAATATTCAACTAGAGATGCAGGACAATATATCAATCTGGGATACTTGCCAGTATAGATGTGTAACAGGTGGAAAACCACCATTTTTCCGGTGTATGTGTTATCAAAGATGGAAGAGAGATCGTATACGACTAGGAACCCCATAACAACTCTGGGCTTCAGCAAAGTGGCAGCCTCCAGCAAGAAAAACAAGGAGCAATACTAGAGGCAATTTTGGGCTGCATAATTTATTAATGTGTAATGTATGTTTCTTGCTAAAGAACATTATTTTTATCAAGTTGTTATGGGTAAAGTTCTGCATTAAAGTGAACCTGAACAATTCAAATGGTGCATGTGATTAAAAAAAAAAAAAAAAATGTATACACAAGTGTTACCTCTATTGCAGACTGCATGCCAGTGCTATTTGTAGACCCACAGATATAAAAAGCTGAAGTTTTATGCAGATTTAGACTTGTTGAGATTTGCCCCCACACCCTCTTACGACCCAAGCCTTCTTATTGGTCAGACCCACTGGTCACAAATACCTGCGTATAAGCGTTTTTTTTTTTTTTTTTCCATCATATGATCCTTTTCAAATATGCAGTTTATCCATTTATAACCAGGCCCACTTTAATTTCATTAAAGATGTTTGGCTGCTTTATGTCACAGCTCCATGCTGTTAAGTTTTTGTTAGCTTTGTAGGCTTCTATGAATGATGATTTGACCTGTAGAAATTAGGGAACCCAATATGCTGATTTACTGTAGTATGTTCTACAAAGGAATATTTTCAAATTCATTTGACCGGGGTGTCTCACTGCATTGTCTTGTACAGATAAAAAATCATCAGGCACCGCGCCTGCACACTGAAAGACACCGCACACGCCATCATTGCTGCTGAACTGGATCCTGAATTCAACAAACTGTGTGAGGAAATTAAAGAATCCAGAACCAAGCGAGGTATGTGTTCTAACATGCGTTCATGCCTGACCGTTTTCAATTAAAACTCATATCAAACAGCAGAATGTCAAATGCAGATTAACCTTGGTGTTGTGCATACCTGGATACACTTTTCTTTGTGAATGAGGATATTGTATTGACTTTCTTCAGATTCTGTTGTGATTTCTTACAGGAGATATGTCATTTTGTCTCCATGCGACAAATATATTAATGCTTTGATTTTCTGCTGCTTTTTGGGATCTGTTACTGTTCCTAAAGTCATAAGAAACATTTTCTGCAAGAAGTGTTGACTTTCAATGCTAGGAGCCTAGCAATGTAGGTTCCTTGGCATGTTTGACTCTGAAACCGTGTCAGAAGTACCCAGTGACCCATTCCCACCTCCCACCAATCCTCACTGCAAAGGTTGTGGCCTCTAACCTGTCCTAAAGTTTGATATTTCGTTAGGTGAAATGTAAAAAAAAAATTGGCTAATCTTGCAGAAATTAAGAGCAGCTATGTGCACTCTTTATATCTCATCTTGGGTGGTCTGCCTGTCGGTCACCCTGCCAGTTCTTATTTGCTGAATTGTTTGTCCTTATGTGGAGAATGGACTTAAGCCAGCCATACATGGATCGAGGTTCAACAAGGACCAGCCGAGATTTGATCCATGTATGGGCAGGCTGATTGTGCCCAAGTTGGTACATTGACTGACTTGGTTACAACCAGCCTGTCAGATCTTCTACATAATATTACTGCCAACGGCTACAGCCACGAACAGTAATCATTGTGTTCTCCCGTCCGGGAAGGCTCCACACACCCCCTGCTGGCAGAACACAATAGCAGAAAATCGAATCGCCTATGAGCTGCCTAAGGGAAGAGTTTGAATAGTTTAGAGAAGAAGAATTAGTCAGGGCTGATATTCAGTCAACTCTTAATATAGGTTTCTTTTTAAACTTCTCTTATACCCAAATATAAATGATCCCCTGCTAGACCATGCTTTAGTTTATCAAGTGAAGGATCAGCCTTGAAGCCTATGCTTCAGCACCAAATTCTACAACCGCTATGATTTCTGCGCTGAAAACTGCTGATCTGTTCTTTTTCTAACCCTTCCCAAAGTAGCTCTCTTTAAACTTTGATTTATTTCCAGACCTAGACTGTAAAAATGAAAGAACCTGTGTGGCATTGGACACCAAATTTGCTATTGCTTTATACCACTTTTCATTCTAAAACCCCATAGCATTCTCTCTATTTTCCTTATGCTGACTTTATATATAATTTCCATGATCTCTTGAAGCCAGACTAAGCAGCACTTTCAAAATGTCTGTGTGTAAAAAGGCAGACTTCATGCCTTCAATTTTTGCAGTGCATCTTCTATCCCTGAGCTATACATATCTCTAAATCTAAAGCTTCCTTTAACCTGCCAGGGATAGGGTTTCATATAATTTATTTCTGTATGATCCCAGTTGCATAAAATTAGACTGCAGAGCAAGACTCTAATGTAACTGGGAATTTCTGCAGAATCTCAGGATTAGGTGTTCCAGAACTCTGATGACCAAGGGTTTTTTTTTATATTTGTTTTTTGTGAGGATAACGAAACTCTGCTAGGCTGTGTGAACAGTTTAGATTTATAAAAAAAAAAAAAAAAAGTTTACTATAGTGCACCTTTTTTAATCCTCTAAACCCCAAAACAAAAATTAAATCTATTGCAGCTTTCCAGTTTCTAGTTGTGGTGGTTGCATTATTTTTCTCTCTTCAGGAGGATTTCCCCATGAATTTTTAGCTGCTGATCTTGAATACCGAAGTTTCTGTCCATGGATGTCCACGCTTGCTCCTCCTCCTTCTTTTTTTTTTTTTTTTTTTTTTTTTTTTTTTTTTTTTTAATCAATGAAGGGAACCATGGTTGTCATCCATTTCTGCTTTTGTGTTCATCTACATTATGTGAGGGTTGATGGGCTTATCAGTTAACAAAAATAAGACAAGCTTGTTTTGCCCTTTCTGGTCAGGCCACTGAAAACAAGGATACTGCTTTTCTGGCAAGATAACAGGTGTATTTTACTTGCTGCAAATATTCTGGCCTAGAAAATGACAACTAATGAAGCCACCACATCTAAGGACTTGGTAAACCCTAATAACTTTTTGAGGGTTTAGTTGTACTTTTGAGTTCCTTGTTAGCGAAACATTCAAAATATATTGTGATCCTTTTTATGATTAGAGCTGATATTCAAAAATTAAAGTGATTGTAATGTTTAATTAGTTTTATTAAAATAACAAATGCGTCATACTTCGCACAAAGCAGCCTCGATCCTCCTTTTCTGGGGTTCCACACTGGTGCTCCTGGCTTCTTCCCTTCATCCAGTGCCCCCCATAGGAAGCCGCTTCCTATGGGGGGCACTTGTGTGGGTTCATTCCCAAGCCCCATAGTCTGCATCCATAGACAGTAGGCCACGGCCCCAAACCCCGCTCCCTCGTTAGTTTGACAGCAGTGGGAGCCATTGAGCCAGTGAGGAGGGACAGAGAGGAGAGAGCCACTGCACTCATGCACAGTTCTGAATCCCGACGGAGTACAGGTTAATATAAGGGGGGGTGGGGTATCTAAGTTGCAGGATTTTCTTTACCTTCATGCATAGAATGGGCGTTACAACCACTTGGTAAAAGTATCAATTGTTTTTGTAAGCGCAAACTGGCTCTTTCTTGCTCCCTTGCGTATAGGTAAGGCAGTAGAGGGCTCAGAAAGATTTCAATACTTTGAAGAACCTGGTCTGCATTTTTTCAAACACAAATTTAGGGCTAGTGGGAAGGTGAGCACCAGAATGGGGGAAAAAAAAAAAATAACTAGGGCCATTGAAGTGGCACTCTAGTTTTACTTTAATTTCTGGAACTCTCTGACTCCTCCTGTATTAAAATAAATGACCTTAAAATACTATTAAAGCCATTTATTCTGTATAGAATGGTGAGGGGTTAGTATTTCTGTTTATTTTTTGTCGTGTCCCCTTTAGGGAAACTCTCTCTTTCATTATCCTGATCACCAACATTACCGGGAAAAAAGAATAGGTTAAATCCAAAATTTCAAGTTGTTCCTAGTACAGGAATAGAGGGGTAGTGTTTTCAGTTGGGGGCACTTGTTTCTGTGACATTCATCACAATTGGAAGATATCCTCTTGCTTCCTGTGAGCCTACAGGATAGGAAGTGTATTGGGAATCAACCTTCCCTTTCCCATCCAAAAAAAAAGGGGGAGGTTTTGGCTTTAGATGTACTTTAACTTCTGTCTTACTGCCAGACCTCTTTAGGGCTGAGCAACCATTATCATTCAGCAAGATCCTTGTGAGCCCAGTTTATTGTCAACACACCCCCTGAGGATGTGTCACCATGAAAAAAATCTGGTGCTAGGTTGGTTTGCAGCTGTGAGTGGAGTTCTGCTTTAAGAAAGGTAAACGTTTAAGTGTAAATGTTTTTATTATTTATTTTTAAGCTGCATTGTATCTCTAAAGGAATGGTCTTTCTTATGGAAACCTTATTTCTGATTAAAATGGTTGTCTAAAATTTGTGTGGTTGACAATCTTACTTGCTATTTCATTTTATGGTATTTCCATTAAAAATTGGCATATGGCAGGACTGATGTGGATGTGCAAATCTGGGGTATCTTAATTGATTTCGACCTCTGAAATTCTTGCTGACTCAAAAGAAAACGCCACAGTTCAAAATACAGCTGAAAAATATATTTTGCTGGTGTCACCCAAGACTAATTTAAAATGTCCTCTTATCTTCTATGTGCAGGTTTGTCAGTGACTTCAGAGCAAGTAAATCCTCAAAGTTCCATGGCCCGGAAGGCAGATACTGGGGGAGAGGAAGCATTACGGAGCAAGCACGGGATGGCACTGGATGTCGGGAACCACTCTGGAACAAAATGTGTTTGTAAGTGTCTTTATAATGTGGAGTGTCATGCAAAGAGACTGGAACACGGAGACCTTCCTTACATTGCGGGCCGGTAAACTTAATCAAGCAGAAAATGCAGTAACCCATAGCAAGTATGCTATAGTTAGCTTTCTGACAGTTTTAAACTGTATATTGCTATGGGTAGTGACACTTTGCAAAGCATGGTTGCTTCTGGGCAGCCTCTTTAAATAGACTTGATTGTTTTCTTACACTTTCTTCAGTGTGCATTATAAGAAATCTGAATGTTCACTCTTAGGCCTTGTTCACATGGGTGTACTACAGCATACAGCTGTGTGAGGGCCATGTTTACCTGCACAGGGATGCTCATGTGTTTTCCTGCATCTCTATGTTGGCAGTCCCATTTGTGCCAGTTGGGATGCAGTGGCTGCTTGGACACGAATGCTGCTCCATATTTAATAGCTGTGCGAGTGCATGGCCCCAAACACAGAGTTTCACTCTGTACAATTGTCCTGATCAGCAGGAATGAACGTGGGGGTAAAAAGCCAAACTTCTGAGTTTCCACAAATGAGGGAATACTGGTTCTGTGACAGTTCTCCAAGAGGGGATAACCCTTCAGTTGGAAAAAGATATCCTCTTGCTTCCTGTTGAGTCTGCAGAACAGAAAGTGAATGGAAATCTCACCAAATGAGACACAGGTGGCTTAATAAAAAGACAATTTCAAGTATATGTAAAGGCTGAAAGCTTTCTGATTTGGATAAAGGACAGATTTAAAGCTTTTTTGTGTTCCTACAATCCGCCTGCACAACCCATATCAGGTTTAGAAAGGGCTGCATGGAATGACAGTCAGGCCATTCATGTTTTCAGTTGATGGAAGTGAAATGAGAGATGCGTAGGCAGCATACTGGAGTAGAGAAGTTTGCAGGGAGGTCCTCCCTGGTGTGTTCAGATTGTGTGAGATTTGTGGTCTGTGTTCATGGGGTTTTGTTGGTGTCAAAACTGCTTCTCTCCCCATACAAATACATACACCTGTCATTGCCTGCATGATTTCAGAAGCGAACTGCACTTTCCCATTGACACAGGCTCAGAAGGTGAAACTGGACACTGCAAGACTGCCACACAAAAAATTGTTTTGTGGCAAGACTGGTTCATTTGAGTCATAAAAGGGGATTGGACAGATTGAGAAATATCTAAATGGTAACACATCTGAAAGCAGAACTTTAGGAAAAGCTGACTAAAGAGCTGAAATACAGTACATATAGATATTCAGCATTTGTACTGCTGTGGACTAGCTTTTGTTTTTAATTGCAGTCTCTTGTGTGTACATAAACTCAGACACACAGCAAAACATAGATAAACTCAGACACACAGCAAAACAAATAGAAAACAATTTTTTAATAATTATATTTGATACCTACAATTTTTAACTGAAAAAAAAAACCCAGCAGAATAAAGCAGGATGAGAGAGGCTGCTGTACACAAGTGGTGCTGAAGCCCTCAGGCTTGCTCTGGAGCCTGCCATCACTGGAGTTGCTTTGGAGGAGATGACAGCTGGTGCCCCCCATGTTTGTTCAGTATACATGAGCGTGACTTGCCAGGATGTCTATTTGAACAGAACCCTGTAGAAGGTTGCCAAGTGTAAAATGACACAGCATGCACCACATGGAGCTTTATAGAGCTTGATATGAAAGCTTGTGCACTGGCCTGATGGAAATGGAGCCGAGAGACTGTGCATAGTTAGCAAACAGCTGACGTGAATATCAATGTAGCACACAAGTTCCTGCTACAAAGCAAAGCTCATTTCTTGCAAGATGCTTTTCCTGTTCTCTTAAATATTGAATAAAAGGGCAGTGAGTGACTGAAAGAACAATATATAGTTCTGTTTCTTCCTCACTGCAATTCTTGTATTTCTCTGTAACAAGGGCATCAGCTGCAATCCTTAATTAGGAGAATCATTTTTAATATTTATTATTTATAAAGCACTGTTGTGAACATGATAAAGCTTTACTTTTTAGGAAGCTGGCATGTACACCAACATCTACAGCCAGGCTGTGCTAATGGGTCTGTACTCATCGATGGCATAGATGCCATTATGTGTGAACTGCCAGGAGAGGGTGCTCTACTCCTATTCCAGTTCATGCTTAGCGCTATTTTCAGAGTGTGTGCCAGATTTTACGCAGCTCCATTGCAACATTTTAGGCTGGCTCTGATTGTGTTCTATTAAAATTCTTAAAGTGGTTCTAAAGGCAAAAGGGTTTTTTTTTTTCCTGGGTTGATCAGATGCTTTTAAGGGCAATCTAATCTAATAGACCCCAGATGTCTCAGTAAAGAGGACCTGTCACTGCTTATTTACTGTCACAAGGGATGTTTACATTCCTTGTGATGATAATAAAGAAACAGTGTAAAAATCTAAATATTTTAAATAAAATAAATTTTAAAAAGTTTTAAAGTGCCCCTGTCCCACTATGTTTGTGCACAAAGATGAACGCACCCATCGCTCCTGCACGCATATGTAAATGGAAAGTGCACCACACGTGAGGTATTGCTGAAAATGGCAGAGAGCGAGAGCAAGAATTCTAGCACCAGATATCCTGTGTAACTCTGAACTGGTAACCTGTAAAGGCTTTTATAGTGTCACCTATGGAGATTTTGAAGTACCATGTATTTTTTCCCCCAAAATTGTTCGAAAAACCATTGCACAAATGACGTGACATAAAAAAAGATTTGCAAAACCCATTACCCTGTACGGCATCTTCAAAAAGATTATTTTTATATATATATATATATATATATATATATATATATGTGTATGTGTGTGTGAGAGAGAGAAATAAAATACACACTGCTCAAAAAAATTAAAGGAACACTTTTTTTTAATCCGAGTATAGCGTCAAGTAAACTCCTGGGATATTGATCTGGTCAGTTATGTAGCACAGAGGGGTTGTTTAGCCAGTTTCAACAGGTGCACTAGATGAGCAACAATGAGACGACCATCAAAACAGGAATGGTTTTACAGGTGGAGGCCACTGACATTTGTTTCCCTGCTCATCTTTTCTGACTGCTTTTCTCTATTTTTGCATTTGGCTAGGATCAGTGTCATTACTAGTAGCATGAGGCGATACCTGGCCCTACAGAGGTTGGACAGGCAGTCCAACTCCTCCAGGATGGCACATGAATACGTGCCATTGCCAGAAGGTTTGCTGAGTCTCAAGAGCGTGGAGGAGATTCCAGAAGACAGGCAGTTATGCAGGCTGTAGACGGGTCAAACATTGGACGATTTTTCGAACGATAAACGAAAAATCGGTTGTTCTTTCGGCCGACGTTACCACCAACAGTTTAAAAAATCAGCCGACTAAATCATAAAGTTCACCCCATAACTTCTGTCCCTTGCAGGTCACTGCTCATGCTCCGATTTTTTTATCGTTAAAACGATTGGCCGATTTGGCCATCATTGCTGGGAAAATTGGCTGTGAATTTTCCGACATGACCGAAAATCTCAAAGTGCAAAAACCCCAAAAAACGGCTGACCAATTAACCCACTAACAGTGCAAAAATCGGCCGAAAAATCGGCCGATTTTCAAACAGTCTATCGCCAGCATTACTCTACTAGAGCTGGACAGGGCCGTAGAAGGTCCTTAACCCATCAGCAGGACCGGTATCTGCTCCTTTGTGCAAGAAGGAACAGGATGAGCACTGTCAGAGCCCTACAAAATGACCTCCAGCAGGCCACTGGTGTGAATGTCTCCAACCAAACAATCAGAAACAGACTTCATGAGGGTGGCCTGAGGACCCTGTGCTCACTGGCCAGCAACATAGAGCTCGATTGGCATTTGCTGTTGAACACCAGAAATGGCAGGTCTGCCACTGGCGCCCTGGGCTTTTCACAGAGAACAGATTCACTCTGAGCACATGACAGACATAGAAGGGTCTGGAGAAGCTGTGGAGAACGTTCTGCTGCCTGTAACATCGTTCAGCATGACCGTTGTGGTGGTGGGTCAGTGATGATCTGGGGAGGCATATCCATGGAGAGACACACAGACCTCTACAGGCTAGACAATGGCACCCTGACTGCCATTAGGTATCGTGATGTAATCCTTGGACCCATTGTCAGACCCTACGCTGGTGCAGTTGGTCCTGGGTTCCTCCTGGTGCACGACAATGCCCGGCCTCATGTGGCGAGAGTATGCAGGCAGTTCCTGGAGGATGAAGGAATTGATAACATTAAATGTCCCCCACGCTCGCCTCACTTAAATCCAATAGAACACCTCTGGGATATCATGTTTTGGTCCATCCAACACCGCCAGCTTGCACCTCAGACTGTCCAGGAGCTCAGTGATGCCCTGGTCCAGATCTGGGAGGAAATACCCCAGGACACCATCTGTCTCATTAGGAGCATGCCGTGACCTTGTCAGGCATGCATTTAAGCACGTAGGGGCCATACAAACTACTGAGTACCATTTTGAGTTGCTGCAATGAAAATTTCAGCAAAATGGACTATCCTGCTGCATCATTTTTTCACTTTGATCTTCATGGTGTCCTTGAATTCAGTCCTTTGTTCTTAGTGGTTGTGGGAGCTTTGCAACAAAATGTCTTTATTTGACCGTACTGCCACTCATCTATTATAGAAAATATTCCCTTCTTGCTCTTCAGATCATGTAAAGAACATAAAACCCCTTTTATCCACAATATCTTTTAAACGTGCATTTCTACCAGTTATCCATTTCCCTGAAATATTGTCATTTCCGGGCGGAAAAAAACTTGGTTCCCCCCAATGGATTGACAGTGAATTAAACTTCCAGTCCTTCTGCTTATGCGTTTCTTCCCATATCCTAAATACATTCTGTGTAAAAGTACTTGTATCTTCACCCCATGTGTGAAATTCCTGTGGTATTCAAATATACTTATCTAATGGTGCTTTATTAAGTGAACTCTCCATTTTTACCCAACTTCTCCCCTGTGCGTTATATATCCAATCTGCAATTCGTGATAATATCACTGAATTATAATCTCTTAAAGTCTGG